GAGAGAGAGAGAGAGAGAGAGAGAGAGAGAGAGAGAGAGAGAGAGAGTATATTTTAGATTATTTTAAATATATCATTATTTATTTAGGGTGGTTTCCCATACTGGCTTCTAACAAGACATCCCAACATTAAGCTTCGCACATACGATACGGGTAACTACTACAATTTTAGTAAAAAAAAAGAAGAGTGTGGCTATTAAAAGAGGCACAGTTTCATTGAAATTGATGATTTTTCACAGATTATCTAAAGGAAGTTCGCATTTGGTACAATCAACTCTTCCCAAGGTTAACACAACATTTGGTAATTAACACAAAAACGTACATTATAAATTGCTGATAAAATTTATTTCGTCAATTCCAAATGTAGTATGGAAATGGTGGTCCAATTATAATGGTACAAGTGGAAAATGAGTACGGTTCGTTTGCATGTGATAGAAATTATTCACGATGGTTACGGGACGAAACGTCAAATTTTGTTGGCGATAAAGCGGTGCTATTCACAAATGACGGTCCATCTCAGGTGCCGTGTGGAAAAATTGAAAACGTTCTGGCCACATTGGACTTTGGTGGCGGTGAGTTTTTTTTTCGGATGCGCACAACTTTTGGTTACACACATATTTTTTGCATATTTTTCGTATAGTTCAATTTGCTAATATTTCATTTTCTTGATGATTGTTCATTGCAGGAGCACCAACAACAATTGATTCGTATTGGAAGCGGCTTCGTGATTTCCAACCAAATGGGCCACTTGTTAATGCCGAATATTACCCGGGTTGGTTGACTCATTGGCAAGAGTCGCTAGCAAGAGTCGCATCACAGCCTGTTGTTGATTCACTGAAGTAGAAAATTGTCAAAATTCTCACCTTTCTAATTCTATAATTGAAAAATTCTTCGATTCCATTCAGACATATGCTGAACGCAGGTGCAAGTGTAAATTTCTATATGTTCTTCGGTGGAACGAATTTCGGTTTCACAGCGGGTGCAAATGACGGTAAAATTGAATTCTTGTGATTGTGTTTTCAATTTGCTTCGATCACACTGACTTTTTTTTCGATTTTGTTTTTTTTTGTTTTTAATTTGAGAGATTATTTAATGCAATTTGTCTTCTCTCCAAAGGTGGTCCTGGCAAATATCAGGCTGATCTAACATCTTATGACTATGATGCACCGATGGATGAAGCAGGCGACCCTACTCCAAAGTATATGCTGATCAGAGATGCAATAAAACAATACTTGCCCTTGCCAAATATTTCGGTCCCAGTACGTGCACCAAAGATGACATTGCCTGCGGTACGCTTAAGTCCGATACTTTCGCTTTTATCACCAGTTGCTCGGCGCAAATTGGGCGGGACACCGATCAAAACGCAGTTTCCACTAACCTTCGAGAAGATCGACCAATATTCCGGATTCGTATTGTACGAGGCCACTTTGCCACCTAAATTGAAGTTTGATCCTACCATTTTCGCGATTCCAAAGTTGAATGATCGAGCGCATATACTTATTGATGATGTAAGTATTAATTCTTTGCATTTTTCCATTAATGGAAGAAATTGAAAGTCGAATTAATATGATAATAATTTTCAATAATTTTTTCTCTCTTTCTCACCCACTTAAAAGATGGTAGTTGGTGTATTGTCAAGAGAAAATTTAGTGAATGCGGTTGCATTGAATGCCGGCCATTCAGGCAAACCAGTGCAGGTGTTGGTCGAGAGCCAAGGAAGAATTAATTACAATGTTATGAATGATTTCAAAGGCATCATCGGAGATGTGCTGGTTAATAATGTGCCATTGGAAGACTGGACTATAACTGGTTTTCCGCTCGATGATGTCAGTCAAATTGAGGATTTAATTGCCGAATCCATTGGCAATGATATTCATGAGCATACCGGTCGATTCGTAGACTTTAGTTCAGACATTTTGACTGGTGGGCCGAAAATCTTTCACGCCACCTTTGACATTGATGCACCAGAAATTCACGACACTTATATTAATCCTAACGGCTGGGGCAAGGTTCGTTTGTTGCTGATTTGTGTTTATGTCTGAGAAAGTTACGATTTTCCTTGTTTTCTCTTTTATTTTTAGGGAATAATATTCATCAATGGATTCAATTTGGGGCGATACTGGCCATTAGTCGGACCACAAATTACGCTGTACCTGCCAAAAGAGCTGTTGCGTCAACGGGGAAATTCACTGATTTTGATTGAATTACAAAAATCCCCTGACAATGGCTTAATTCAATTCAGTGATTCAAATATTTTTGAAGAAGTTTAATTTTTACTGGCTACTTATACTGTGTGTGTGCTTAAGACAAATGAAAATGACGTATCAACTTGGTAAATCAATGAAATGTTTATTTGAACGAAATAAATTCTTATCGCTATACAAGTATGTTTTTGGTCGTGAATGAATTCAATTTTGTTGAAAATCTGGGTATTTGTTTAATTGCTGGCTGCGCTCGCACCTGGCATCAATTTTGATAGTATTTGCAACGTTTGTTCCTTATTCAAAGGACAACTGTTGTATATTTTATCACAATCATCTGCGTCCAAGTCCTTTCCCTTTTCCAATGCCTGTTTGACAGCGGTTCCATTGAGCATGAAGTCAACGAGTGCGTTGCTGGAATATTTTTGCAATTGTAAGATTTCCATGGATTTTATTTCGATTCTTTTTTTTCTTTTCATATCTCTACTTGTTGAAGTAAATAATTTTCTCTCTTTAAATGAAACAAAATTCGTCATTGCTACTTACTCGGAGAGAGCGTTAACAATTTGATCGGTTTGATCGGCCCTGCCCATTTTGTGGTGATAGGTTGATTGGCGAACATAAGTACAAACGGCACGTTGCATGCAATTGGTTGAATCGATGTTGTCTTTGCCCAAAATGTCATCCAATTTAGCGAGCATTTCCGAGATACCAGTTGGGTCACCACCGTCAACACTACGGTAATTACCACTGTATCCGTATCCACCACCACCATAACCACCGTTCAAGCTGCCAACCACTTTTGGAATGATCAACAGTGCACCGATTCCAATGATAGCACCGAGTACAACGCCACCCAAGTCAATTTTCATTGGACTGTATCCATAGCCAACGCCAGAGGTGTGTGGATATGACTTGATAATAAAAAGAGAAAAGAAAAGAGATAAAACAAAAGTTACCGAATCAAATATCGAATCGAAAGTATTCAACATCGAATTTGGTAAAATTACGTTTACAGATCCATAATTAGTGGAGTATCCCAAGCGTTCAACACGATCGGATGTTGGTGCTGTATATGTGTCATTTTCCTTGTACGATCGATCCCATTGGCCAGCGCTCTTTCCATTTGTCAAACTTGAAGAATTTCACAACAATTTTGAGTTGATAAATTGCTTTTTGATCAGTGTTAAAAAGATTATTTAAAAGAAGGGTGAAATTTGTGTACGGTGGTTGAAAAAAAACGATTTTTTGTGTTAAGGAAGTTTAGAAGACTGAGAAAAAGTCGGACTTGAAGGTTGCAAAGGTGTTTTGATTGTTGTGTATTGAAAATGAAAAATAAAAATTGTGATCAAAGTGAATCGAACCAGCCAAATGCGTTCATTGGTGAGATTTTCGTTCAAATTCCGATCCATTCAATGTGAAAAATTCGTTTTTCGATTGTGTCACTGTGTATATCAGTTGGTAATAAAATCCAGAGAAACAAAAGCCAAAAATTCACCTCTTGCTCGCAGTTTCGTATTTGGGCACGGCACTGCAGCTGCTGATCACAAACGCACAGATTGCGATAAATCCACAGAATTTGAAAATGTTATCCATATTTGTTGGGCTGTTGCTGTTTTTCACTTGTTCACAATTTTGATATTTTTGGTCGAAAGAAAATTTGTCTTTGCGAAATTTTGCAGTTTTCGAGAGAGGTATTTTGCTGTGATGATGAACACCGAACGAATGATACCAAATGCCAACGATCACAACCATTTTATAAGAAACTGTTGTCACAGGCAAAAGAATTTGAACAAAAGAAAATAGTGTTGCAGCAATAGCGCAGCATTTTTCCTCAATGTTTTTTTTTTCATTTCGTATTTTCAATTTAATCAGTTTCCCATTTGTTTGTCTGCTTATTTTTCCTTGCCGTGCGCAAATTTCATACTCAAAGCCAATCATCATACAACGGCAATGTCATAACATATGATTACGGCTGTTATGTTCACGCGCGTACAGGCGACAAGAGTTAACAACAATGAATAGGCATTGAGTAAATAGCAACACAAAAAACGAGTGCACCAGTGAGAAATGTATATTTAGTCGTTATTATTTCAGCTTATTAAACACACATAATGCCATCCATGATTCCGTCGTGTGCCGAATGCATAGCCAAAAAATCTTGAACTAGTACATCCGCGATGAGCTCTTTTGCTGCGGCACAGACACACACACACACCCGTGCTGAAAGTAAAACTGATTGAGAGTAAAACCGTTTGCGTTGCGACGCCAATCAACATTTTGCATTCGCGGCGACATTCAGGCATACGTTTCAACAAACTCAATGACAATTTATTCTTCTAGCCTAGCGCGCATCGACCGTAAAAATGAATGAGTAACATTACGAAGATAGTTTTTTTTTGCTTTGACTGATTTGTATCACAAACCGACAATGTGCACATTAATGTGTCTTCCGAAAATTGAATTTGTTGTTTTTTTTCTTCATTTTTCTTCACTTTCAAAACTTTCGTACCGGCAACTCTTATTTTGTTTCTCTTGTTTATCTATTACTTGATAATAGGTACCATTCGAAGTTCATTTGAAAGATATGCATTATTCACAATAACAATAGACACAATTCGTGAACATACGATGAATTGTGCATGTTCGTGTTTCCATACAAAGTTTGGGGAAGCTACGTGGTTTTTTCGTTTCATACCTTAAAACCCCGAATGCATGTCAAATTATGATCTTGCGCAGCTCTTGAAGTCGAATTACCGCTATTCGAAAAGCCTTGGAGACAAACGATTTGTGTTTTGTTTTTGGCATCCAAGATACTATTAAATAAATACTACCCAGTACTAACAAGATGGCTGCGATTCATATTATGACTCCACAATGAATAACGTTTGCGTTGAACAGGTGGATCTCTCATTTTGTAAAATTCATCAAATGACATGACAAATAACACACGTAATCTCACACTTTAAATGAGTCACTTGGACTGGCACAGTTTTGTACACAACTCTGGAACATCGAAACTATTGCACTTTTAATAGCAACGAAAAAGTTCATTTCTTTCTCAACAACCTGTTGAACGTTGAAGAAGATTTGTAGCTTTGAGAAGGAATGAACCACGTTTGTTCTTTATGGTTTGCGTTGTTGTTTTTATCTATGAGACAAAATCGCATGGAACGACATTAATGTACCGATTTCAAACCGACCTAGTTGAGAACGTAAAAGAAATATAATTCCCGCAATATGGGAAAGTGGCATAAATCACAAAAGGACAAATGAAAACCGACCATCAAATTGACTATTCCAGAAACCATGAATACTCAACGCGATCAGGCGGATTGCCAAGCTATATACCTTTCCGTACTAACACCGGTAAATTCAGCATTTTCAGATCGTGTACCGAATGTTACTTCAAATTACCAACCACTATCCGAGACGCGCAATCTATAGCCATTTTCAAAAAACGCGTCAAAAGTAGCCTATTTGAAAATATAATTTGAGTAGACCCAAAACATTGCCGCTGTTATAATCATATTAATACCCACACCAAGTAATGAAACAAAATACAAAATCTCTAAAATCAAGCATCTAAAGACAAAATGTACAAATGTAATTAATGTAAATACAAGCAATTTTTGGTCCCTCACAGTTATCTATGGGACTGGTCTAAATGTAAAATTATATAGCAATTAGTCATAATATTTACTCAAACAATGTAAAATCTTTTGAAAAAATCAGGTTTTTACGGAGACGAATGTGCTCTTTTCGCCTGTAACCACAAATATTGAATCGAATTAAATAAATAAATAAATAAATAAAATGGCATATGGATTGGGATTCGTTCTTGGCATGTAACTCTTCCACAAGTTCTTAGAAACTTTTATTAATCAGTATCAGAAAATGTTGAATGAAGTGTTGACGCGTGGTTAGAGAACATCAAACCAAACTCAATGGAACACCTGTTTTGTCTGTAGGACTTCAAAATCAGATTTTCAGCTCGACGGATGATTTCTGAGTAAATTACTTTGAAGTGAGTAGAAACCTGAATTATTACATACACCACTCAACCATTACCGTAGAAAAGGTGAAATTTAGTTTTGGTGTTGATTTTAGCGTATATTCCTGTAAAACCCAAAGAATTCATCATGAATATAAATGATCATTCGAAGAAAAAGATCAAATTTTTATCATGTCATAATATTCGGAACATCTTTATTACACATGAATATTTTCATAAAATGTCTAAAGCAGAGCGTAAAATAAGAAAAATTAAGACCTCAGAAAGTCAGAAATTGATTTTTTTGTTGAGTTTTCAGCACATGAACTGGTGCTGCAAAGTCATTATTATAATTTACTCAAATTCTCAACGAGAGAGCTACTTATTTACTCTACAATTTTAGAATTGACAACGATTCAAATTCTTTATTTGCTTATTTCGGTCATCCGAATACTACGAGTTGAGAACTGCCTAAAAAAAATTCAAGGAAAATATTATAATCATGAATTATGACTGTACGAAGCTTTAATGCAACGGAGGTTTGATTTATGTCATTTTCGTACGTAAATTGAAGAATAAGTGCGCGCAGCGAGAAATTTTTCATTTTAATCGATAAGAATGTTGGAAATGATTTGATTTGTGTTGTTATAATGCGACAAATTTTTGAAAGAGGTGTTTTTGAACTGTTCAAAACCAAATTTTTCGTCATTCCTCTCCGATGCGTTGCAATTTCGCAAAGTTTGTTTGTTATCGCATTTCTTTCGTGTTATTTTCCATGCGCTACTGTTTCAGTAATATTGTCATTTCACTCTATACATTGGCTCGTATACCGCTCGTTCATGGTGATGCTGTACAATAAGCACGTTCTCTCTTTAATGCTAACAATTCATGAACTCCTGATTAAAGAACTTAATATTTTTAACCATTCATGCAAACTGACTCTACTTTTTCGAGAACCAATGTGTTAAATTGAAGTATTGGGAGCCGCCAGATGTACAAATGATTAGTTCTATTGATTATGTTTGCCTAGTACTTAAATTCAAATAAATTAATTATATTCACCAATTTGGACAAACATACTCGCCTTTTCCAACAACTAAAGTCAGAAAAACATACTCCTGTTTATTGGTATTCCAAACTAACAAAATACATACTCTTGTTTAACGCAAATTAAGGTTTATGAAACATACTCGCCTTTATCATACCTTTATCACACATAGCCACAAACAGTCAAAATACATACTCTACTTTAACTATTTTTAAGCCAAAAGAAACTTACTCTTCTCTTTCGTAACAAAGTCAATGAAACATACACTACTCTCAATCTCACCCATAGATATATGAATGGTTAAGTGCAAAAGAGATAGATTTGAAATTTTTTACACGAACAAAAAATTAAAAATCTGCGTTCTCCTAATTTTGGGAAAGTCAAGGAAAGAATTGCACGCAATTTTGATACGATACGTTTAAAAAAAATATCCCAAATCATCCAACCAGCGAAACTATCAAATCTTATGAATCGTTGTTCTGACAGCGTACTGCCATTGCGATCTAAAGTGGAATAATAAGCGTGTAATATGATGGAAATTGAATAAGTTTTGCATTTCAATGAACGTTGGTTGGAAATCGTGCACGAAAAGCGTTGACTGTGAACTTGAGTTGCATAGTACGTGAGAAGCGTGTCAACTACATTGAATAATAAAATAGCGAAAACTTGGTGTTTTTGATGGATTCAAGTTATGAGCTTGACAACTTGCTTAAAGCATGAAAATGGCGTGTGCTTCGGAGCTTTGTATATCTTTGGTATGTTTCATTTAATAAGCAGCCGTCTAAAATGTCTTTCAAGTTAGTTGAGCTTTTTTCGTGTTGGTCGTAAGCATTTATGAATAATAAATTGCACTCAGAGTAATGTAAGTGTGTCGAGACTTTGAGTTTGACAAGCTGTGCCAGGCCATGCATGATACATATATATATATATATATATATCTACATGTATATTATGTATGTGCCTGTTGAGCTCTGTTTGATATATCACTTTCATCGAAATATTTTATATTGCGATGGGTGGCATCAACGTCAATCATCTTTCGTAATAATTTATGAACGATGCCAAAATGAAATGGCTTCAAAAGGATGACGAAGAAATACAATTTTAATTTCGAACAGGCTTTGTTATGCGCTAAATCTATCACGCTGAATAAATTCATGCGATAGATTTATGCGATAAATGTGATGCGCCCGCTTTGCGGTGAACGAAGTCTGTTGCTCTTCAGTTGTTCACGCATGAACGTTCATGCTTTGCAGTGAACGCATCGCTAAGCGGTAGTAAACAGCAACATACCTCGTTCACCGCAAAGCGAGCGCATCACATTTATCGCATAAATCTATCGCATGAATTTATTCAGCGTGATAGATTTAGCGCATAACAAAGCCTGATTTTGAAGTTTTCGAAAGGTGAATTCCTAAGGACACACATATGTGTTTGTTCATATTCATTGCATTTGATGTGCTTGTGTTGTAGCACTAGTTGAAACTTCAATTGATAACAGCATATGCGGTGATTCATTGCGATTAATTCAGTTTGGTTCGTTCAAAATGCATATATATTTATAGCCGGAAAAGTCATGCATATTTAATGCTGATTGCAATTGTTGCAATCGTTGCAAGACTTTGCATTAATTACATCAGCTCATTTTTAGCACTACATGAAATGTAGAGCCACTACTCTGCTTATTTTTTCTTAATACTTTTTGAGTGATGAAACAAATTATGGTGAATTTGAATTTTATGCTTATATTTTTTATTCAATTTAAAAGAGTGGCAGTAACGACAAATTAGTGCATAATATCTCAAAGCGCCAATCAAATTTTTATGATAAAATGTTTTTTTTTTTTAAATTACATTATTTCAAGCTTTTTTCGTACAGTATTTTCTGGGTCTTGAACAGAATTAAAGTGACTTTCGATTCTATGCTCATATTATTTATTTAATTTAAACCAAAGGCAGTATATTTCAAAAAAAAGAAATAAAACCAAGATCTTGTAATTCATTTTGCAAATAAATATATTACTTCAAAGTTACTTTGATGAAATACATTTCATGTAGTGCGCCAAAAAAAAGTTTGTTGTGAAACAACAAAATAGAATAAGTAAATAAAAAAGTCGGAGCGAAGTGACGCTCTGCGGTCTTGTTTTTTCATCGAAGCTTTAGTTACGGTCTGAACGACTGTCTTCTAAACGCGACTGTATATTCCGTATTCATCTTCTGAATTCAAATGAAATAACGTCACTGCTGCAGACGCGTACAGAATTGAAATAGTTGAACAAATTATGAGTCAATAGAAGTCACGATTACTGCAAATTAAAAACTTGATTCAGTTTCCTTTCTCTGCTTGTAACTATATTACGACAAGAAATCACATACACACTGCAAACGAATCGCAATAACGGAAGAATTTTCAATAAAATCATATTTTTCAAATTTGAATTGTTGCGCTGACAGTCCGTTTATTTCTTCATTTAATTTCTGTTGTTTGTCTTTTTCCTGTCATGTTGGTGCTTTGTTTCCGGTGCATATTTCTTGTTGAAACAGAAAGTTTTCCAAACTACGGAACATTTTCGAAAATAACAAACGACTCAACACGTGCAATACAATGAATGAACGACATTGTTTGCAAATGCATTTATAAATGCCATCCAGATGGAAATCAATAAAAAAAAATTCATAACTCATGGCATCAAAAGCATCATGGATTGAATGTGCTCACTGTGATAAAATGACAATGTTAATGGTAACACTTTGTGCAAAGATGGATGTAGTATCTCTTGTAAAATCTTTCCAAACTGGTAAGTGATTTCGAGGTGAGCGCTCAAACTTAAGCAAGGCCCACAACGATCAAATGAAAATGGACGGCTCGAGAGCAAAAGTATATAATAGATCCAAAAATGAAATACATTGTTACATTATACTTTTCACTGTCAAGCCGTCTAGTGTGATTTGTGTGAATGAAAATGAAATTGCAAACTCATTTGCGGCAGAGACCGGAGCACAATTGCCAGAAGTGCTTTATTTTTCACATTTATTTGGAATTTTGATTGAAATCAATTGATTTGATGGTGACATAATAGCAACATGTCACATCAGATATGTATAAAAGGAAAAAAAATCACTTTTTAATGACAGACCAAAGAAAAAAAAATTGGCGATGGAACACCTGAAAGCAGGAAGGCTTTTCGAACGGAAAAGCAGCGCGTGGTGTGACACAGCGATCAAAAGCAATGACAAACTGAAGCATAAATTTGTGTGTGTGTGTGTGTGTCACATGTGAACAAGCAACAACAATTGGAGCACTTTTGCCGAGCGCGCCCAGAGGAGACATGCAAAAGAAACGGAAAATGATGATAAATCTCAAATTACATAGATAATTGTGACAAACCGACACAAAATATGCTCCAAATCATTAAGACGTGCAAATTATATGGTACGATATGTTTTTTTCACTCTTCTATTCACGTTTTGCTACCGCATTTTCAAATATATAGAATGGGTAATGGCTTGAGTTTGCATTTAGTTGGTAACGCGACACTTCAGAGTAAATTTCGACGAAAACGCTCCACGCAATTTTTCTTCTCTGCCATGCCACTGAAGATTTGAATACTTACACTGAAACGAAAGTGAAAATTCTCTTCTGGACGAAAGTCAGATTCAGATTCATTTTTTCTAGTTTTGAAGAGTGTTGAATTTGAGTTTTTTAAGTGATTTGATTTTGATTGAGTGAATATCGATTGTGAATATCGATTCAGTGCCTTTGCTAACACGGCTCAACTTGCAAAAAATGTTTTTAGTTATCAAATTGATTTGGTGTAGTGTGTTTTTGTTTTACTTTGAAGTGGTCAGTGCAGACTATGCAAATAGTACAATTAACACAGCTAGAACGATAAGTGATGATTTTCGTGCATTCCAACAAACGGGCAAACGAGTCAGCCGAAGAGATGGCCGAGGACTATTTACATTTGATACAAAAAATGACGACATACAGGTATATTCACACATCCAAAGTGCATGAAAGTCTTCCACATCAATACAATCGTGCAGCGGAGGCATAACACCGTCATTTCATTGCATCAAATTAAACCGTTTTACTATTTCTCTGCGTGAATTCTAAAATCAGAAACAAATCTTCAGGAATAATTCAAAATCGTTAAAAAAAAATGGAAAAATGGACAAAAATCGTAGTGATTGATTGAACAGTTTCTCGTTTTTCTCAGTTATCATTTCATTTTTTCAGTTTTATGAGTACAAATTTCCCAATCAATCCAATCATGTATCAATCCCTTCACAAACTACAATTTCGTTCATGCTTTTTGTATGAAGCTCTATAGAAGATGAATGCTCTCTAAACCAGAAGTAAAGTGGTTTCACTTGGCTATTTAAAAGGTTTAACGGAGTGTGCTACTGAAAATTTAGTCATTGTGTCGTCGTGTTAAAATCACTTGGTCTTTCCGCTCAATGCGCTTTAAATACGTCATGGTTGACACTTTGATGCGGATTGTTGATGCTGATGGTGTGTCGTTGTCTTGCTCTATCTTGCAGCGTGGATGAAGTTAAAACAATGTGGAAATTACGTCCATAATGATTTCATTTCGTGGATTACTTTCGCACTTACACCTAGTATTCATCACCTAATATGAAATCTGAAACTGGCACATTTGCCTATGTGTGTGTGTCTGTGTGTGTGTGTGTGTGTATGTTTTATTTTGATAGGTCGGCCTGGAATTCTCCGTTCCATTTCTATCCATTCCGGTTAAACGTTCGGTGGACTCGGTGAAATCGTGGGCATCACAATCAACAGCTTTTGTATCGGTACCAATTGAATTTGTTTTTATTTGCAATCGATTTAATAATCACACGTCATGTTCACATTTTGAACGATGAATTTTATTTATTTAATTTTTTAAAAATGTTTGTTCATAAAAATTTACTTTGGCAAATGGAAGGACCCCTTAATGAATGTAAACACAGGATCGATAGCTCTGACTGGTGCTGTACTCTTGGGTGGCCTCGTGACCACCTATCTTTGGAAATCGCTTATAAAAGATCAAGCAAAATTTGCTAACACCCCTGGTTACTACCCGGCGTATGGACGACGAAGTACGATGAAGTGTTTTGTTTATTTTAAATTTACATTAAATTCAATGACACATTCTTTCATCTCCACACCACCGCTATTTTACTGTTTCAAATATGAGCAATTTCAGTATACATTTTAAAGAAAATCCGTCAACAATTTTACAAACATCCAAATATTTTCTAAAATTCCAAATAATTTCTTACCACCAGATCAATTGGACGACGAAAATCCAATAAATCAGCTGATCGATAAAGTCGAAAGGATTTTTCATAAATATGACATCGATGTGACGACGTGTGTTCAACGCATGGTATGCGTTACGGTTTCCATTTATCATTTGTTACTAGTTTTCATTAATGGCCCACTATTAGTTTATTATATTGCTATCAATTTCATTTCTTCATTCTGATTTTCCCTTAGGTATGCGTTACGGTGAAAAATGCGGTAGAAAATGTGGCAAAAGGAAACGGAACAAGTGCGGAAAAAATATTCGATGGTTTGTCGAGGTAAGCAAATGCATGCGACGCATCATGAATACGAAAACGATTGTTGTTAAACCTTCGCCGAAGTATGTTCGTGTTTCAATCGTTGCGGAGATTGATAAGACTAAGTGTTACGTCAATAGTGATTCGAACACCTTCATGCCATTGTTTAAATAGTTAGAATATTCAATCTTCAAACAACGCAAGAATTTTCATCGAACATTGTTCAGAATGAATTAACATAATGTGTGTGCATGCGTGAAGATTGAAAATTCTGACTACTAGTCAAAGCACTGGATGAAAAGGTGCCAACAACGAACTAACTGGTATTTTTTGTTGTTCATTTCACACATACAGCACATGGATATTGCGGCGTTTAACGGCTGGCACGGCGGTTAGTGATGCCATCAATGCGGGTCAACGTTTGGCTGACTGTGAAAAGAAATTCTTTGAATGCAATATGAAATCGAAAAATATACAACAAATGCTCGAACTTCTTATGCAAAGTATCAACTACTGAACGACTCAATCATCAAAGAACGAATCGAAACGACTAACTATTTTTTTTAAATTTATTTATGCATATCGTTAGGTATTTATTTTGGAATGTTTGGTTAAGAACAAGACGAAAAAAAAACTAAATTCTCCCCCTAAAGTAGTAAAACAACGATAAAAACCAGAGACATGAGAGAAAGAAGAAAAACGCACAAGCAATTGCCTTTTGTCATACAACAATTATGTTTATTATTTTTCGAACTCAATTTGAGAGAACAAATGTTGCTGAGAAAAATGGACTAAACCACAAAATAGTTTGTAGAAAAACAAACGAAAAATACATTATTTCAAAAAATAAAAAATAATAATAAAAACGATTTAATTCGTAATTTTTGCTGGTATTTCAAAGCATACCAATGCTTTGTTGTTAGCCTCGGTAAGTGCCCAGTGAACGTCCAGAGCGGGTATATTTGGATAAACGGGAAGTACATCGAATGAATTTTTGTACACATAGCTTTGGCCGGCTTTCAGTGGGCATTCCGTTTTTGTGGTGCCATCTTCAAGGTATAAATTGTTACAGGCTGACGTACCATCCACACCAATAAACGGTAATGGCACACTCAGAACCACCGCATTCACCGTTGTGGTCAACTTTTTGACATCGTGGTCTGGAAACCATGAAAAAACAAAAATGGGGAAAAGTTTAATGAAAATTGCTTGAAATTGGATTGGAAAAATGTCACAAAAATGAATGCATCGAAAAATTTATTTCTAATTTTCTATTTTTTTTAGAGAGGAAAAATCTCGCCGAATTTCAAGTAGAGAGTGAAAAATTGAGAAATCGAAATCAAGATTTAAAAAAATGCACACAAACCTGGTGTGAGTTTCAATTCAATAGTAACTTTGGTATTTTTCCGTAGCCGACAGCGTCCTTTTTTACAATTCGAAATCGTTACGTCTTCATTACTTAATTGCTTAGCGGATTTACCTATGACAACACGTTCAAAGATTTGTTGTTGGTTTTTTAAATTGCTGAACTTTTTTTTTCTACTGAAACTTTTTACTACTAATAATAAAACAAACATTTTACGCATAACAAACTAAAAGGAAGTAATAAAAAAAACTCAAGTTGGTTAAACATAATTCAGTTCAAGTACTTTTTACTGGTTGAACTCGTTGAGCTCTTCCTGGTGTTAAGCATACATACAAACGAACACACCTGGCATTTCAAGAAAATCAAAACTACTACGCATTAAAATCAACACATCACTCGACACTTTGAAGAAACAAGAGAGAAACAAAAACAACTGATTATTATAATGGCGTAACATATTTTTAGCTGCTTTCGTTTGAATGCACACAGCGTGCATTAGGCTGAACGATTGATTTGTGCAACTCGTGACTTTAATGAGCAAGCAACGATAACGTTGAGGCCCAGCAATTAGTGATCGTCTAAGAATGAAACAAACGATAGATAAAAGTTCAGGCACAAACTTGAAGAAAAAAAATGAACAAACAGGAAAAAGGCAAGTTTTCTCGCTTCGTAAATCTTTCTTTGCATGATATTACTATATCAATGGGTCGTTTGTTTTGATGGTATCTCCGATACGAATGCTTATTGTTCAATGCACGACTATGCAACCCATTTTCCATTTCTATTTCTAACACATTTTTATCTTCTTCTTTTTTTTAGTATTCCCAACAACCGTACAAAACGATGTTATTTTTTCATTTCTTTTAGCATGTGCATTTAAGAAATCATGAACAGTTACTCAGACACACTGGCATACAAATGCACGAAAGTTCACTAATAAAAATTATTTCATCACTCGTTTACCTTGACACTTTCTGACAACAGTTGCTTCAGCACACAATATGATCAGATAAAAAGAAATCACCACCGCAGTTAAAAATTGAACTTTCATGTTGCTATCTACGTTGCGGCGTTCAGCTTATCGAGCGTTTTGAAGGGAAATGAATGCCTGTAAAAAAAATATATAACCAAATCATTACGTTTTCTTCTTACTTTGAGAGAAATATGCAAATATACACTGAACGATTGTTCTGCCACTTTAATATTCACTTTTCAATAAATCAAGAATAAATAAACCTCAATGAATGGCCACCACTAACTGGCTTTTATTTGTTTAAGCCAAATTTTGCGCAGAGATTCAACAATAGCACGTATTTGTATTTGCAACCGAAAGCAAAATCACTTTCAAGTGAACATTCTCGTTCTTTCGTTGCCGAAAAATCGTCAACGTTTCAACCAATCAATAACTCGTTTCAAAAAATATTCAAAGAGGTGCTTTCAACATTTTTGGCATTTTAACTACATATAAAAGATTTATTTGTGAATCAATTCTTAAAAACTCTAACTTTTTCGAACACCCGCCCCCCCAACAAATGGCTAGAATCAATCTTTACAAAATTAATCGTTGACAATCTATTTTCGGAAACATTTTTTTTCTACAATCCACAAGAAAACACCACTATGAAAATCAGTTATTTTTGTGTATGATCTTACGCCAATAGAAACGTTACCAAATTTTATTATGGCCAATACCTTGTAAAAACGTGCAAAAAAAACAACACCGAGTATCAACTTTGCATCAACTATCGAACAACAGCTAAGGACTGATTATCATAAATTAGCCGAGCGATGTTAAATCAATGTTACCGCTTTAAGTGATTTACACTGAATGAAGTAAAACAAATGAATATTTTTTTGTTATAAAAATATAAATCAACTTTTTGACCCAACACCGGACGGCGGTGTCGCACGGTTGTCTGTATTTTCTTCACTGTACGCACGGAACCGACTCAAAACTCAGCGCAATAAAAAACACACTTTTCTACAGATTGTGTCGTTGTATTGTAACTGGTTTTTTTTATTTGTTGCTATTATCACATCATTAAAAAGAAGGCAATACAGAAGTGTGTACCGCTCCGTGCTGTGGCGAGTATCAAAGTTGAAAGACGTGCTGTTGGCTCTCTGATACAATGCACGAATCGATAAAGAATCAAATAAAGAATAATAATCGATAAATCGATTTCTTTTTCGGGCAATCCGACGTGTGAAATGACATAGCATTACGAAATCGAAGGGATCGAACTTAATCGCAATACAGTATAATCTACATACAGTAATATGAGAAAAGAAATTGGTACGCATTTCGAACCGAGAAAAATATTTCAAACCAGAAGAAAAAGCATTTCAAACATGACATCGGTTGACTTTTACTTGCATTTTATTGATATGATACCAATTAAAGTCGTTTCACTTGAATATAAACACTGACCAAGACACAACAAGAACATATTTAACGGCCGAAAACGTTATTCGAACAAAAGTTATTTCAATATTGTTCTGTTATATTTAAATTCTCCAATGATTTTGGTAGGCAAAATATTAAATTTGAATATACAGAGAAAGAGAAAAAAAACACTTTCATCGATATAGATAACAAAACCAAGAGAGGTGACTCATTATGTAATAAATGATAATTTGATATTAACAATTTTTCGATTCAATATCATTATGTTATATTAATTCATGGTTGGACTGCTAAATAGTCGGTGGAAATAGTGTTTTAATATGTATAAATCCATAAAATCGGGCTAGGAAAACTTGCGAGATAATTCAAAATAATTGGATTTTTCTCGCACGATAGAGCGTACATCAATCAAGTTCGTTAAATTTTCGATTGGCATTTGTATGTTTGTATTCAAGTCTTGCTGTCAACATGTATGCCGATTACCGAACAGAAAACACCAAAACATACAAGATACATGAATTGCTCAGAAATGCACACACCAAGACACCATTACATGACCATTAAGTATTAAAATCGAAAGTATATCTAAAAATACGTCAATTGAATTGCTTTGATCCAAAGATAAAAATGATTCCAATCAAGTGTTCCATTTATCTAGACTCTTGATTCCAGAGATGAACAACTATTTATCGAACATTTTTGTGTGATTCAAAACTAAATCAACCGATTTGAATACAATGCGATGACCTTAGAAAAATGTGTCGCTTATGTAACAAAATTTCATTCAATTATGCCGTTGAACTTATTCTAAAATTAGAATTTTTAATAAATTCAAATTCAATTGATTAATTCCTTTTGGTTTGAAACAGTAAAAAAGTAGAAATAAGGCAAAAAAAAGTCCGCATTATTATTGTTATCCGCACAGTATAGCAATATTACAGTATTATTACGACAAAATAAACAAACGAAAAATCTGTCTATCAAACATTTCCTCATATTTCTTCATTCTGAGCACACTGCCTTTTTTTTACACTGCCTCGCTCAAAAACGCTCATTCGCTAAATGTTTCATTTCTATTGGTAAAAAGTTGCTGTGTTCGCTCTTTATTTTTTCTCTATGGTATGAACCACTATTATAACGTTAAACGGAAGAAAAAGAAGAAGAAAACAAAAAACGAGAAAAAAAGCACGACTCCAAACGCCATCTAGTTGCCAATTGTGTCAACAAAGTTATTTTCGAACAAGAATAAGCCACAGATTTGTATTTAATTCTTATTCACATCAAATGTGTTTCAATGAAATGCTCATTGAAATTTACTAATTTTACATGCTTTAAATTGAAATGCAAAATGAAGTTCAACAAAAAAAAAATTCCAACGAAAAAAATGCAATGTAAAAAAGAGTCGAGCATCTTAAATTTACTGTATAAAAATGTGTCCGGCATTCGTCAGGTGTAATAAAACGAAGAAGAAGGAGTAAACGAGCGTAAGGTTGCGTTCCCAACCAAGAGATTGACCAGTGTGTCGTGTGTGTATGCGCGCGTTGTTGACAGATCGATATTCGGAATATTTGACTGCTTATTGCACTAGAGACATTTGAACTAAAAACATACATACAGTGTTGTATATTGGTGAGAGACAGAGAGACAACGAGAAGAAGAGAAAAGAACAACAAATTACGAACTCGGCTTGCTCAATTTACATTGGCATTTTATTTGGGATTTGTATATAGAATATGGCGATGCGTTCAAATTCGGAGGTGAGTGTTTTATTTTACGAAGCAATTTATTTCCAACAATTATTGTTTTCAATTTAAATTTTGAGTTCAACGAAAAGAGAAAAAGACCGAGAGCCAAGAAGTGGCTCATCGAAAAATGGTTTAAATCAAACAAATGCAATCACATTTTCCAATATTTGGTGTAATATGGTTCCAAAAAAGAAAAAGAAAAAAAAAAAACAAAAGAAATTAGTGAATATTCGATTGAAACATTTGACATCGTATTAATAAAAATGCATCAAATATATCCAAAGTGTGTGTATGTGTGTTATGAAGTGAGTTTCATCGCGTTCGTCTTTTACGTATACACAACAAATACAAGTGTAACCAATTCGAACCGACTTTTAAAGGCATGGAGCGTATTGTTTAGTGTCACGCCCAAGAAATTCATCATGAATAATATTTGTTGGATTAATATGGAATTGAATCATATTTATTTTTTCCGTCGTTGGCTTCGTGAACTGATTATTTCGGAAGGGTATTTGACAACAGAAACAAAAACCAGTGAAGATGATTAAATGTTACATTGAATTGGCTTATCGGGAAAAGAATGCTCATTAAAACAACCGAAATTCAAATGATATGACGCTGTTAGACGCCGAACTATGTGATACGGTGTTTTGTGTACACCATACATAAAAACATGTTGATACGAAAAATGGTCAACTAACGAGTTGACTATATGACTGTTCCACATGAATTATTGTTGATGGTGCATCGAAAAAAAAAACTAAACAAAAAAAGTCAAACTTCTTCTTCATATCGTGTGTCCGTCGTATGTAACCAATTGCGATCAAGTTGAAAGAACCAACGAATCGACTTTGGATGATAATTACTTGGAATGGAAATTGTTGTCGTCATTAAACATATACATTGGTTCTCGTTTCGTCTCTGTCGAGCAAAGTCATTTGTGTCATTTTTCCAAATGCTTGTCGTGGTCGTCGTTTTCGTCGTCATCTGTACTTTTAACTTGTACAAATACTCTAATTTTGTTTTTATACTTCTTTTTCTTCTTTCAAACACAATATGCATCAATCCCAAGTGACATGAATAATTTTCGCACATTTACATCGAAACGATAAATACGTGCCACTGAATACGGATAAATTTTAATATACCGTGGTGTATTCATGTCATAAATATGAGATGTAGAGTAGTTTATGTTAAACATAGAAACGGCATGAAAAAAAAGCGAATGCCTTTGGCTTTGGAAAATGGGGAGAAAGAATAATGCACTTCACTCGCGTCACGCGCGCGAATGGAGTGAATCATTCTAATCGATTCCCTCCACGAAGAAGACAAAAAGCGTCACTATATTGCGGTTTCGTGAGCAAAGTAATTTTGTTTCGCAACCGAAATAAAGCGGATAAATAGAAATGTTGTGTGAAATGACGAAAAAAAAACGATGAATACAATTCGAAACGAAGAATCTAAGGATCAATATGGGAGCAGAACAGAGCCAAAATGAAATGGTTGAAATGAAAAGGAGAATTGCAATGAAAAATCCGTCTAATTTTTACATTCATATGCCTGGCCGATAGATGTAAACATCAATTGCTTTCATCTATTTTGGCATTTGGCAGATAGAAGCCAACGAAAATTGCAACGATTTTTCATCCAATTTTATTTATAAACAATCTTGTGATTTACGGTGATGTGCATACACGATCCAACGGCTGTCAAATTTCTGTTTTTGACTTCGTCGTATACAAAGTGCATGTAAAATATGCTTACATAATTCATTGAATGCATCGCCAAATGTTGTCGAGCTATAAAATAATCGGTTGATTTCCATCGGAAGGATCGAAAGTGGCATATTCCCTCTGGCTATGGCCAAGAACAATGTTTATGCTTCGAACCAACCGCAATCAATATCATCGAAGTGTCAACATATTGTAATTGTTTTTTAATAGAGAGCGACACACAGTCGAAGCATACCGTGTGTACATTAGGTGTTGTTCTCATTTTGGGCATATCTCACCATGGTTACGTGTGCATACCGACAATTTTTCTCTAATGGGTATCGCCGAAATGTCGGCCCGAGTGCATGCACATTCTCTCGCTCTCTCTCTCCATTGTTCGACTGTTCGGTTGTCTGCGTTGACATAATTAACCTTATAAAAGTGCTATTTAATGGGGAAAAACTATACAATAGCAATAAGAATCACTATTTTTCACCATTAGCAAATGGGCGAAGAACGAATAGATGTACGAGTATATATATATATGAAACTCATAGAATGAAAACAGAACTTCTGAACTCTTTGCCGATAAATGAAACGAAAAAAAACTTAGAGCAAAAAAGAAACAAATAAAGTTGCGAGCAAAAGTGACACAAGTGAGCATTGAGCGGAAAACACGTTTTTCTTATTTTTCTCGCGACTGGAAAAAGATAGCGACTAGGTGTCTTCGGCAATATTGTAGAAAATGGAAATAACTACAAATAAGTCGAAGACACCTAGTCGCTGTCTTTTTCCAGTAGCGAGAAAAATGAGAAAAACGTGTTTTCCGCTCAATGCCCACTTGTGTCACTTTTGCTCGTAACTTCATTTGTTTCTTTTTTGCTCTAAGTTTTTTTTTCGTTTCATTTATCGACAAAGAGTTCAGAAGTTGTTATTTTGTTCTTACGCTGTCATTTATATCCAGGTCAGGTCCGACGACTCACTTATTCTTAAAAATTTAATCGGATTGTGTATTTCAAATATTGAACATGCATGTTAAAGCAAAGAAGTGCAGGTGAAATGCGATAATATATATATATATTATACAATACACAGTACAGATCACATAGAAAGTGGCTCGCACTGTGCATATGTCGAAGCATAGAGCAATCACAGCGCTGCACACACATACATTGAATCAATTCAATTTGATTGAGAAGGCAAATCATCAATTTTAAATGATGTCCTTTTCAATTGATTAATTTTGAATGATGCCTGATTCCGGAAGCGAGAAAAGCCGTCAAACCCCAAGGAATGTCAAACGAGAACACGTCATTTCATGATTTGGATCGATGCGGATTTAACAACGTGTGTGTGTGTGTGTGTATGTGTGTCGGTTTTTTTTTGCTTCTCTCTCCTCCTTTGAGAGACAGAGAGCAAAAGGAATGAAGCGCGATATGATTTTTTTTTCAAGTTTGCTTCTCTCCGTTTGAATGGATTTAAATTTTCTGATGAATGACCAACGACCGCGACGACGACTGTTGCTGAACGAGAGAGAGAGAGAAAAAAAAGAACACGCAGCTTGCTCTCGTCGCGCAATCAAAAGCGCAATGGTCATAAGTAAGCAAGTCAAATGATCTATGATAAGATATCTCGTGATATTATCATTAATTCGACAATAAACTTTAAATTGATGCATCCGCATATCGGTCGCAATAGAGACCGTGCGCACGGTACGTTCGAAATTTTGATACCGTTTTTTGTTCGCTCATTTTTGAGCATCATCGCACGGTATATCTCTCTGGATGCTCTCCGATCTCTGTTAAGATCCCGCCCCTCCGAATTTATATCCATATGCCGTCCATCTCTTTCGGATGCCAGAATCTATGTAAAATGCAAACGTTTCGATGATGATGAACAGTAGAACGATGATGTATGCTGAGTATATATGTATATCATCTGGAAGAAGAATCGACGAAACAACGAACACGTATTTCGAGCAATAAACAACACAAAAAGAGAGTAGAATGGGTATACTTAGGTACCATGGTTTTTATCGCGCACAGGCCGATTTGATTCATTCAGCATGCGCTCAGAAATACATAGTGATACACATTTTGCGATGAGCACATTTTGGTTTGATAATAAATTAATAAATGAATGAACATGAATTGAATAATCAGCTCGTGTCATGTGTATGTAGTGGGATTTTCATGTATGAGATAGAGAGAGTCTCAGTGTGGCCATTAATCGCTTCGAGTCCAAGAGAACAAGATCGATTGTTTGTGTGTGTGTGTGTGTGTGGACAAGACCGAAATGGATAGAGTGAAATAGAGATAGTAATAGAGAGAGAGAAATGTATGTCTAGCAAGCCGAGCAACAAGCGCATGTGATGACAATTGATTCAAACGTCGATGATAATTGAATGGATATCGGAAGCAAAACCTGAAACGAACATTCTCCATTTGACATATTGAAAAATTGACACTGCAATTCATTCATTACTGCCGATTGCATCAATCTTGGTTGCACTTGTCACCTTCTCTTCTCATTCGCATTTTCCATCTTCTTCTTCTTCTGTCCGATGGAATAGTCTATTCATTTACACACACGCCACAAATCGATCTTATTTCATAATCATTCATGTCGAATCCCACCAAATTAGCACGTCAATTTAAAAACGAAACTAACTATTTACAGTTGCGGTGATAAATTGTTATCGTGCAAATGATACTTATGACATGACTATGTTAATTCGTGTAGTGGCACTTTAGATTGTAGCGCGATGAGAAAAAAAATTGAATTCGAAGTACAAGTGCACTTGAGGCGCCATTTTCACTTCAAATCGATGAATCAAATTAAAAATAAATTCGATATTCCCTGCGAACGGAATTGATTTTTATTAGCTCACGTTTCAATTGTTCTTTATCTGGAAAGGACACTCGAACAAATCAATGAACCGAAAAAAAAATTTGAATCTATATTTGACCATACAGCAAACATTCAATAATATTCTATATTTGATTCATTTGATGCGACAAGTGCCACATGATACAATGCATATCATTGTCATCGGCTACCTGTCGAACATTCTAATCAGAACATAATCATGTTTTCGGCAAAATGATTCAGTCGAATTTGAATGGCTTTCGGCAAACATTCAGGATGATAATTGTGCTGCATTCTTGTGCGCACGTGTGTGCGTGTGTCGACCTAAAGCGACCGTTTACAGGTTTCTTTCTTCTTTGGTGGAGACATAGAGAGTGTAATACAGTGTGCGCGAGAGAGCGGTCGCATTTCATCGAGAAAAAAGTCGTAAAATATAATACGGATATTGTTTGCAATAAGCTTCTATTTACTTGATAAATTGAAGACTTCCCGATCTCATATAATTTGCCGCTTTTTACCATACACACATGCACACATGCGTTCAGATTCACGTATGTCGCGAATGAGCCGCTGCGTGTATATATTTTTTTTTATTCTGTTCACGTTTCTTGAAAGAGAGGTGTCTGAATGTGTCCCCATTTGAATACTGTTTTTCTTCGTCTGATTATTTTGAAGCGTCGGCGTATGTACGAATTCATCTGAACGGTCAACCGACTGGATTTCTTCGTTACGTAAACACTCTTATTAAGCAAATGAACTTTTTTTTCCCTCTTCCACCGTGCAAGCAGACAATGAGTGATAAGAGTGCGGTTCTTTGTTGAATTGCCCGTGTGCACACATTAGTGTGATAAATAACACCGTTTCAAACATTAAATGAAATCTTCATTTCCGCCGCCGCCGATGATGATGAAGAAGCAGATGAAGCGAAAGAAGAAAAAAAAAACTTTATTAAACCTTATTACTAAATAGAACAAGGCTATTCGACCGAATAAATTCCGGTAGGTTCGTGTGCACTTGGGCATTATTGTGTCGTTTCGACTGCATATATATATATGTGTGTGTGTGTGTGATTGTTGGCGTCTGTCGCAAGCTCCTAAAGAACTTCTTGAATGTCTCTCGCTCGCTCGCTCTTTTTATTTCTCACACTCTCTCGGCTTATTTGTTTATGGATCAAAATCTAGATTTAAATTAGACGAGTGAGTTTACTACTACAGTTTGCGATTGCTCGCGTCTTCGCGTTCATTCGAACACAACAATACTTCATTTTCCATTTAATATTTTGTATCAAAGACACACAGAGAAGGAGAGAGCAAGCTAAAATTTGCATGCACTCTATGCACATATTATGACATTTGTTCCTTTGTATTAGCCTTTGTGGTGCTCGCTCACATTTTCTTTGGCACGTTCTCTCTGCCTATCACTCTATCTCTCTCTCTCTCTGTGTGTGTGTTTCCCTCTGGCACATAAACCTTTTAACGATAAATCGCTTTTATTTTTTCGCCCTTCAAAACGAATTTTCAATAAAAAAAATGCATACACAACTCCGGCTGGCGGTAGTGTGGATTCTTTATTGCCTTGTGAGGTGAGATGATTGGCTTGAAATTGGACAAACACACACAAGAGAGATAATACATATGCAGATTCCGATATACCGAAGGAATCTATATTGGAATTGATATAATTATTGTACTTGTCTCTCCATCTCTCAGTTTTCGCTCTATTTTTACCTTCGAGCTGCCGCCGATTTATTTAGACCATGATTAATGCATGATTTGATTGTTCCCGTATATCAATGTCCCGTATATACACAATACATGAAAACTTGTGTTAAACAGCTAAGCTCAACGGGTACGTCACGAAATGATGAAAAATAAAGCCTTCAATCACATGGAGTGTGTGTGTATGTGTATGACAGAGATAATGTTAGATGGAGGGAAATAGCACGCGAAGCTTCTGAAAACAACCGTCAATTTTCTGTTGGTTTGAACAAAAATCTCCCCCAATAAGCTCGATGCAGCCAATGGGGTGTTGGATATGGCATTTTTATTGGTAATTCGAACGAAAACAGGTTCGCGAACAGTTTTCTCTCTATGTTGTTGGTGCTTTTTTTTGTCAATGGCAGTAAATATGGCGCCGGTTAATAGTGTTCTATTTGCATGACGTCACGCGGTACAATGCACAACTCATCAATATTCCATTTTTAGTATGGATCCATATCCACTCCACCGAAACCGAAAATACACGCGGAACATAACGGAACGGAACGGAACGAAACGCTCATATATAATTTTGCATTAGCTGCATTTCAGGATTCGGTTTGTTTGGCAAAACCTAAATATGTATCCGAAAAGAGTCGATAAAATAGCAACTTTCACACTGTCTCAACTAAAAATACAATCGAAGCTATAGCAGCAGCAGCTGCTGCAGCTGCAGCAACATAGTCAAACTATTATTTCCGCATGCTCACATTTTTTGTTCCATTGTTCCAAATTTTGATATACATATCAAAAGTATGAAGTGCGTTTTCTTTGTTGTGATTCATCATTTTGATGAAATGAATTCCTCGAAACGGTGGGCACTTCATTATTACTACTTTGAACTGGTTGTAAGCGAAATGGTACGAAATTTATGTAATTGCAGGCCGCGTATAGCTGCCGTTGTCATGCTGTATATTACTTAACGGCATCCTCATTAGACATCAATTCATTGTGTCCAGCAGCAGTAGCGTACAATAACAAATGAAGACGTGTATCGTGTTTGTGACCTTTTTTCGCTTCTTTCGCGTTTACGGAATTTCCGAATTGGCCGAATGAGGAAGTTGCTAGATTTTTGCTTTTTGAATCATGGCTATTTTGAAATCGACTAAAGTTCTTAGAAATGTATGCGCACAAACAACGTTAATGGTATACAGAAAAGCAAGCAAACAAATAGAAAGAAAACCATTTTATTTACAAAATTAAATAAATCATGGACATTTCACACACGATTCATATATGTGGCTAATCGCATTCGATATCAATAGAAATGGATATAATGTACATAGCATATGTCCTGTTTTGGACAGTTTGTTAAAAATCGTCAACTGTACACAGCACAGTTAATGTGTATACTGTTGGTGTTTTTCAAATAGAAACCCGTCATGGGAACTGTTTCTGGAGGCCATATCATAACTAAAACTTATCCACTGGGATGGATATAAAATTAAAATTTACCTATTTTGCTGTTGGTGGTGTGACACTTTTTAGGGTACTTTTCATTTCGATCTCATTTGCTTGCTCTAAAGAGATGAAGACTTTTCTCATTCGTTCTATGTTCAAGTTAAGAGATAATTTGGTACATTGAAAAAAAAGACCGACCATTGGGATAATTCGAAGCGAGAGAGAGAGAAAGAGAGAGAAAGAGAGAGAGAGAGAGGGGGAGAGAGGAGAGAAATACACGAAGCATACATTTGAATCTGCTGACACAGAGCAAAAATGCCAAACACTCTCGCAGTCTGAATATTGCGAGAGAGATATCGAACGAGCGCACTTGCTCACTCATTCTCTTGCTCTCCACCATGCCACTTCTTCTTCTTCTTCTTCATCATCATTCGTCATATCGATTTTTCTCGTGCTACATATAGCAAAGCTCGTTTGTGTGTCGTTGAGAATTAGTTCCGCTTCTGTTTCTCCTGTGCTATTTTTTCTGTGCTTGACTTTTCGTTTTCTTCTTCTTCAGTTGTTGTTTTTGTTGTTGCTTGTTCGACAGGATCATATATTTCCCGCTACCCCGCTTGTATATGCAACACTCGAAACACACTGAATGTGTGTGTGCAACTGTTACACACAACATTAAGAGTAGAAACGGAAACAGAAAAAAAAACTAACCAAACTATACTTAAGAATCGTGTGCGCGCGGTTTGTTCGTTTCCTCATTCGCTCGTTGCACGCGAAACGTAGAGCAAACGTAATGAAATTTCATAATAGCGACAATTACATGTCGTTTTTTTTTTTCATTTCAACTTTGTATCGATCGTCATCATGTGATGACATAGGAAAAATGGCCAATTTTCCACTGTTTGCAAGGAGCTTAGGTGGATTTTCAACTGGTGCGCGAATGCGAAGAAGAGATGAAGGGAGAAACAGGAAAAACCAGATAGAGAGAGAGAGAGAGAGAGAGAGAGAGAGAGAGAGAAAGAGAAAATTTGAGTTGATGTTTGAGGATAATTGAGAAAAAGCAATCGCAGCATATATATCGAAATCGAAGGCATTTCCTTTCCCATTCGCCAAGTTTCATTTACGTACTTCTACAGCAATTCGATGGTTTCTCTAGCATTGGAAACGAGTCCGATAGACGCCAATGTATATATCCACAATGTGACGCAGTATGACGTCATTTAGGCGCTGAGTTTGCTCATTTGATACAATCATGAAAATGTGAGAGATATTTTGAATATGATGGTGAGTGAGAGACAGAGCACGTATGTGTGTATGTGTGTGTTTGGTTGCTTGCTTGCTTGTCTATCCTGTTGTGTATACGAAACTTTTCTCAGAGTTTTTCTCTCAACCACACACTCTTTACACACTGCGAACAACACCACATCTCACACAATTTTGCGATATGTACATCGAATTCTCTCGGGCTACTTTGAATTCGTGTGTATTTTCTTGCGACCGAGTATTGAGTGCGGCCCCCACTAACTTTCTCCTTTCCGAATCGGATTTTTCTTTTTCCGAACAAACCGAAAAATGCCAGCACACAAACGCGACTGCTCCGTACTGCCATTGGGCATCGGTGTGTATGTGTGTATACATTTGTATGTGTGTGTGTTACAAAGAGATAATAAGAAGGAGAGAGCGAGAGAGAGAATGTGTGGCTGCTGGCGTTTGTTCGTTTGTGTAATGGGAAAAATTCAAATGCTGCTGAAGTGTGAGTCGTTTCTGCGAGCGAACGAGAATTTCGACGATATGCATGAATACAGCGAGCTTGAATTCAGTTGAGCGACGTACCCGTAACGATAAGGTCGCGAATACGATTTTATGTACGATTTTTCGGTCCATCACCAGTATATACGTATACAGGAGTTTATATTTTATGTTGTAAGCTGATGAAAACAGTTCTTTTTTACAATACAACAATACGAATTCGCGCATGGATACAGCGTGAAAAAGTGTCATTAGATTGGGATATAATCGAGGGGATTGAAAACAAGTGACAATTTGAAGTAAAAAGTATTAAAAAAAAATACCGAGGAATATTTTGACCAACAAAAAAGAAATTATTGAAAGAAAAAGGAGCAAAAAAAAATTTAACAGAAAAGAAATAAAAATTATATCCACGAAACGAGGGAGGGAAAAAGAAAACACCAAAATCCGATTCACTAGTTTAATTCAAATACACGAATCACACACATCAGCGAATAGGAAAATTTTCACAAAAGATACAAATCGACCAGTGTAAGTTGGACTTCTTTTTTTTTATTGAGTTCAATTGCTGTTTATTTATTTATCATTGAGTGATACATATGAATGGTAGTTTTCATGAAAGTTAATGTCAATGTGTGTGTGTACTCAAATCATTTTGTCGTTTTGAAAGCAAGAAAAAAAAAGTTCATGAAAAAATATATCAAATCACACTACATCCAGAAATTACCCTAGAAAAGGAGAATGCAAATTACATGTGTTTGGTTCGAGCACGTATGCATTATTGCTTCGTTCGTTCTTTCTACCATATTCATTTTTTTTTCTTTCGAATTTTGAAATACACATCTCATTTTTGATATATACGTGTATTTTTGATATATATATATATGTTCGAGCTTTGTCATTTTGTCCAATCAATACGATGAACATTATATAATCATGTGTTTGCGCGCTTGCTGCAAATGCACATTTCACAAATATTCGGTTAAAATTTAAACAACGTTTCATTTCAAACATTCGTGCGCGTTTATGTGTAAATGTGTGTGTAACGAAGAGAAAAAAACATGCAAATCGGTTGAGAATATGCGAAAAAAAACGCAACACTCGAATATTTGAAAAGGATAGAACGTAAAAAAGCATGAATGTGAAATGAAAGCTTCAATTAACAGCAAAAAACTGCGTTCATCACAGTTGAAATCAAAATTAAGTGAGTTTGTTCCATGTAAGATTAAAATTGAGGTTACGTAAAGAAAATGAGCAAATCATCATGGGAAAAAAAATCTCCTCCCCCCTTCGTTTCCACCCTCAACTCAACTCAGCACCATTTCCACACCAATGATCATTTATAATCATCGTTTGGAGTAAAAGAGAATAATAATTAGGAGTTCGTTATCATTCATTTTTACTGCTATTTTGAAGATATTTTTTTTACCCAACCCCGTTCCAAATACCGTACAACTCCAGTTTTCAATTCTATCTCTTTAGCCAGTTCATGAATCTATTACCGCACCGAACATTTATATCGGTTAATGTCAATTACCAACAACTGAACGACCGTATATGTGTGTGAGTGAGGGAGAGAGAGAGAGTGTGTGTGTGCGTATAGAGAGAAAGAGAATCTTCCATTTCCAACTCCTGAAAACGTTAAATTCCAAACGAACGGAAGAACCGAAAACGTTACGCAATCGAATAAGAACATTTTTTTCGGCCGAAAATGCTCAAAAGCGAAGAGGTAAGTGGAAAATGCATAGCCGTGCTTATCTTGAGCACGAGCTCACCATCAAGAACAAGAATGGCACCAGCAAACCACATTGAAAGTGAAATCAAATGCATTTGTATGCGAGCGAAAAAAGGATGAGAAGAAAAACATGGAAATAGACGAAATTTAGATGTATTCATCATAAGCCGAAAATTAAATTGGCCAAGAAAGGGGCTACGAAAATTGGTTTTTCTTTCTTTCATCGAACCAAGAAAAACCAAGTACCAGTTTGGATTGTAGAGCAAAAAGACCGAACAAAGCGCGGACCTGCCATACAAAAAAAGCGATAAATGAGCGGACGAACTGAACCAAAATGTGCGCACATAACACGCGCGCGCTTGTTTCACATGACACACTCAAGCCAATATATTGCCGATCGCAATGCAAGATGAAAAAGGAAAAAAAAAATTCCAGCACACACACACACACACACAGCACGAGAAGGAGAGAGCACGCGTGTGTGTGTGTGTGTGAGAGAGAGAGAGAGCGGCAACGGTTGGTACCGCTGTATTATTTCTCCTGAAAATTTTCTACAAGGTAAATCAGTATCGATTTTTCGGCATTCTGGCCTGTTCAGTTGCCCCGCTCCATCGTCAGCAAAATGCTATACGTCAAAAATTCGCCACAAACACATTTACACGCACACAGTTTTATTGGATGAAGAGGAAAACGTGCAATTTTACTCTGTGCCATTCTCTGGCCTGCTCTTGTTCCCTGAAAAGTAACTGGTTTTTTCCTGCTTTTTTGCCCAATTGAACGTGCGTTTTGACAGGCGTTTTCGGGAAAGTTTCCCAAAAGAAAAGATAAAGAGAAAAAACCTCCCAACACGAAACAAGAAAAAAAACGCAATGGAAAATCATTGTTCTAGGTCTGTGTTTTTTTTCTTTGCCTTTGATTTCGCGTGTGTGCTGCAAGTGTAGCGTTTGGCGACAGTTTGATTGAATTTACGAAGCGACCTTGCGAGTTTATGGCTCATTGAACGTTTTAACACTATACACAAGCAGGAAGCAGTTATTTATAGTCTCTCTCTCTCTATTTCGTACACGAGATTTTCACCCATTGTCTGTATTTTTTGTTTGTTGATTATTTGCTCCAGTTATACAATCAAATTTCGAATCAATCAAATGCTTAACTGTTCCAAACACACAAAAGGTTCACCGTCAAAATGCGACACACAAGCAATTGTGTAATCGAGATTCCAACAATATGGGCTCGTTGTTGTTTGTAGTTCAGGCTACAGATTACGGGCTTTTGATTACCATTGACCAATTCAGTGTTGATGTTCAAGAGCAGAGCAGAGAATCGCCGCTGATTTTAATCACATTCAATTTATCTGCTTTTATGTTAATTTATTGCAATAAAAATAAAACAATAAAAACAAAATCGCGTTTTTGTAGAGCATCAAAAAAAAAAATCGGCGAAGAGAAAAGAAGAAACCATATTACATCATTTGGAAAATGTGATAACATGAATAGAAACAATGAAAATTCGATCGAAATTTTATTTGCAATCTAACGAAAGAAATTTTTCTCTGTTTTCTGTTTCCCATTCACAAACATAACTTCAATCAAACCAACAAACAAAAAACAAAAAAATTCTCAGACCATTCTGTAAAGGTAGAGAACAGAACGTTTAAAGAGTTGAAGCAAGTAGAAAAAAAAACGAGCAGGGGATAAGAATTTCGACTTGGAAATTGGATTAAAGAAAAACGAACAAAAAAAAACATCGTTGGTGTTCGTACAGTGCGAATCGAACTAGAAACACACAATCAATCCGAAACTATTTTGAATCCACGTGGAATTCAATTTCCGACATGTAAGATTTCCCAATTTATTATATAATTGTGATCAGAAAAAAACAGACCATCAGCCGCATTCATTCTTAATTGCTCGCTCTCTAGCTGATTATCATTGTGTACAAGTGTTTTTTTTAATTTCTTTTCTAATTCGTTGAGTTCATTTTAGACTGAATTGCATTTCATAATCCAGTGCATCCGTTTTAAAGCTTTGAAAATGGCATTGTTGTTTCGGTTCGTTTTGTGAACATTCTGTTCCGTTTATACATCTAGTTTTTTTTCTATCTCGCTAAATATTTTAGAATAGATTTGTTCCGTTTGTTATGTAACACATGCAACAAAATCGCAATATAGTTTTTTTTTCTGTTGTTACTCTGTTTCATGTTACACCTTGAAATCCTTGAAAACTGAAAATGTCATTCCAACAAAGATATCATCATTTTAATGCCATTTTTTACCTGTGTCGTTGAGTTTAAGATTTTTTTTTCGATTGAGAATTTACATTGTTTTACCCATAAGTTTTTGTTCTCTTTAAAAAAAAAATTTCTTCATTGGTCACATATTAAGCAACCAAATGTGTCCATAGAATCGATAGAAAAAAGAACCCAATTGGGAGGAAATTCTTGATAAAAAGCTGCGAAAAACAGAAAAATCCAATGAAAAAGTGTACGCATTTTTGACTCATGTCAAAGTTATTGAATGCATGCAATTCGTATATATTCTTTTCTCATTCGCTTATACGTCCTTTTGTGTGTTAGTGGTTGTTGTTTTTTTTTGCTTTCGAATAGAAGATTGCATTTTCATGTGAAAATATCCAGACCAAAAAGTTTTGTCGGCAATAGAGGCCCTTACTGAACGTTGTTCGCATTCTGCGCATGACCAATTTTATGAAATGTATATCGTATATCGTCACATACAATTTTGTTTTTACCCATATTTTTCTAACCAAAAGAAAGAGAAGAAAAAATCCGATAATTTTTTTCTTCTTCTGTTTTTGTCATTGCTACGAAAATCCTATTAAGTTTGATTTTAAACTAATTCATTTTGTATTTTGAGTGTGAAATATTTAAAAAAAAAAAAATGCAACAAACGAAAGAGAAAAAAAACGATTTTAATTGTGTCAATTGCAGCCCCTGTTTTGCAATATATCACATGTATAGATGTGTGTATATACGTATATATACTCACTCAGTTGAGGAAATGAAGGAAAAGATATCAAAAATTCAGACTGATATGCGCGGTATACACACATTTGTATTATATAAATACCCCACATGAGAGATGAATGCTTCTTTCATGACTGCTTTCCATGCGTTGCCCTTCTTATCGATCGCTTCACATTCAGCAGGTCATATTTCAAATGAAACTTTTCTGCTGCTTCGGCTGCGGCTGTCTTTTTCTACGGCTCAACGATTTTCTGTTTGCTCAAGCTAAAATCGAAGAAACTTTGGGGACAGAAAGAAAGAAAAAATAAAAACAGAATAACCTTAAGGTTTTAAACAAATATATTTGCTTTGGCATTAACTGAAACCCCCATTTTCATTGTTTGATTTCTTTCATCGAATTATGTTCGATCTCTTTAAATATAAACAATGTTTTGTTTGTCCCAATTTGTTTTAATTAAAAATGCATTTTGTTTGATTTTCAATACGTATTCGATATCTTTTTGTGTTGTTCGTCATTTTTTTTTCTTTTTTTTTTACATTCATATCAGAAATTTACTTATTAATTTTCGTTTATTACCACATTTATATGTCATTTTACTTTGGTTTGTCATCAATAAAAAAAAACAATCATTCCTACCCACCCCATGAATAAAACCGAAAAAAAACCAAACAAAAAAATCCATGTATGATCGCACGAAACCATAGCACGGAAGGACGGACTCCTATCGAGTCGCAACTGTTACGACAGTACCAGACGATAACCTAACTGCAGATGGATTCTTCAAGGTATTGCCAAAAATTCCAATCATTTTTTGTTTGTGCCCAATTGGATAAAACAGACATAATATTTTACGAACCGTTGAAACTAACATCATTTTTAAACAAAGAAATTAAAGAGAAAAAAAACACACCAAACAGCCGCTTATCACACGCTTTCAACTTTTTTACGGGAAGGGATACTCTAAACAAAGAGAGACAATAATATAATCTATTTATTGAATCGGTTTCAATCGACAGAGTAACATTACCCAACCTTATATTTTCGGTTTTTTGTTTTGGTTCAATTTCACACTGACTTTGTTACATGTATATTCTACAATTGGCATTCACACACTAATCCATTTAACAGCTTAAATAATTTTTATTTTCTAAGTTTACAAAATTCAATTCGTTTAGTTTGAAATTTCAACACAAACATATCTGTATTTTGTATGGTGCATGAGAATTTATTTTTTTTTGGAAATTGGCCATCTCTGTCTGAATAGTGAAATGATGAGCAGCAGGTGTTGGATACGAAAAGTCTATTTGAATTGAGCGCAACGAATACCAAATTCGAATTAGAAATGGCGTCATTGAAAATTTCGATACAAAATCATGTTGCAATTCAATCGCATTCGATGGATGTTCATTATTATAGCCGAGAATGTTTGAAGCCGAGATCCAATTAAATTAACCAATCCATGGTCATTCAATTGACGTCATATGATGTGGTGGTTTTACCTGAATAGTGTACACGCAAGATGCTCTCACTTCAAAACCATCGATTGAATTGTTCATCTCACCACCATTACCACCACCGGGAGTGAATACCGACCACCCTTTCTTCTTTTCAACGTTTTTTTTTCTCTTCTTTATTATAACGTTATATTATGCGTGAGGATTTCCTTCTTCTTCTTCTTTCAAGTATACTTTCAACTGTTTGCACGTGTACAGCGAATGACATCACAGAGTGCGAAGTACACAGCACCGCATGTGTATGTGTCGATTTCATTGTGCGGCAAGCATAAGATCAATCTCTTTTGTGCAAACAAAGATGAATTATAAACCGTTGGCATCAAGTTACTCTACTGCGCAGTTTGCAGTAAGGAATATAGCCTCCTTGAATAGCTTCAGTGAGGCGCGCGAGTGCTCGGGCGAACAAACAATACACTCGCTTTTCAAGAACCAAACCCTTTAATACGTACGGAAATCGGAAACAAGGGTCGGCTTCTTACTATGTAAATATCCGTTGTAATACACAATTCTCAATTCGCCTTCTTTTCGCTATATAGTTGCCCCCTTCTGTGGATAAGTCATTGAAATTTGTTTCGCTTTTTGATTTATGCACATTTATTGATTTCTTCGTCGTCGTCGTCGTCACATTTTCTTCGCAACTATTCGGAATTGGATATGTCAATTTGATTTTCTGACCTATTTCACATTTGATATTCCCAATGCATAAACTAAATTTTCCCCCGGTTCGGTTCGGTTTTTATTTTTACAATGATGAAAATGGTTTTATTTTTACCATCAGCTCTTTTATTGGACGATAAAATGTCATTTACATTGGGCTTCGGTTCAAACAGAACGCTTAAAAATAAATGAGAATTCCGATTAAGCCCGAAATGAAGTCGTTCCGAGAAAACCTTCAACATTGTTTCATTATTCATATAATAGGCCATGTCAACTGATTGCACGTAAACAAAGGACAAGCGCATACAAAATTTTCATGTTTTAAGTAGTTTGTAGTTTTGTACGGTAAAATGTTACGCATCGGACACTCTGAGTAAGTATTTGATTTGGGTGTGAGTTTTTGAGAGAGTGTGTGTGTGTGTGTGTATTTGAACATGTGTGGTTTCACGGATTATGTATCACTCTAACAATTGTGATTTTGCATTTTTATCGCGATATTTCGGAAGAATTTCTTTCAAATTCACATTGAAATAGGAGTCTACTGTTTTTAAAGTAAATTGAAAGGAAACGCTATTGCCATATGAATTTTTAAATTCTATAAAAAAAATTCTAATTTTGAGGAAGAAAATCTTTTGTAAATCAAAGCCGAAGGGAAAAAAATGCAAAGTCACATGATAAATATTAACAAAAAGAAAATGATTTCAGTTTTGGCCAAATTCTCTTATCGAACTTGATTTTTAATCTGAATTATTTTCTCAATGTACATTACAGTCAAGACGTAAGATGGCTAAGGCAAAGGCAGCAAAGAAGGAGAATCTTGATGATCTTAAGCAGGAATTGGACATCGACTATCACAAGATCACGTCAGATGAACTGTATCAACGATTTCAAACACATCCAGAAAACGTAAGTGAAACTCCGTACAAAACGGGACTGAATACATCTCATTTGTGAGAAGCTTGAACCAAAACTATTCCAAACTGTGCTCTCATACAGAGTTCAATACATAAGTTGTTTGCCATAAAATTGCTAATGCTATTTTAATTTCTACAAATTCGACAGGGTCTAAGTCATGCAAAGGCTAAGGAAAACTTGGAACGCGATGGACCGAATGCGTTAACACCACCGAAACAAACGCCCGAATGGGTGAAATTTTGCAAAAATCTCTTCGGTGGTTTTGCATTGTTGCTTTGGATTGGTGCCGTTTTATGTTTCGTTGCCTATTCTATTCAAGCCAGTACAAGCGAAGAGCCATCCGACGATAACTTGTACTTGGGTATTGTGCTTGCAGCTGTTGTCATAGTTACCGGTATTTTCTCATACTATCAGGTAAGCGGTCCAAAAATTCAAACCGTGCCGAAGGCCACAAAATTCGAAAGAACAAAATTCGATTGACCGTGTATTAACGTTGGAATTCATTTGCCAAACAGGAATCAAAAAGTTCAAAGATTATGGAATCGTTTAAGAACATGGTACCGCAATTCGCAACAGTTATCCGTGAAGGTGAGAAACTCACTTTGCGTGCCGAAGATTTGGTATTGGGTGATGTCGTTGAGGTGAAATTCGGTGACAGAATACCGGCTGATATTCGAATCATTGAAGCTAGAAACTTTAAGGTGAGTTAAACATTGTTTACACAGAGTGTTTAATGTAATTGGGTCGAATGGATGGAGGGAGAGAGAGAGAGAGAGAGAGAGAGAGAGAGAGAGAGAGGAACAAAAATTCATTCGTTATTTTTCGTGTAAATAATGCTGATTTCAATCGCTTTGTATCCATGCCAAATGCAGGTTGACAATTCATCACTGACCGGAGAATCTGAACCACAATCACGTAGCCCTGAATTCACTCACGACAATCCATTGGAAACGAAAAATCTTGCGTTCTTCTCGACAAATGCCGTTGAAGGTACTGCCAAAGGTGTTGTCATCAGTTGCGGTGATCACACTGTAATGGGTCGTATTGCTGGTTTGGCATCCGGTTTGGACACGGGTGAAACGCCAATCGCCAAGGAAATCCATCATTTCATCCACTTGATCACCGGTGTGGCCGTCTTCTTGGGTGTTACTTTCTTCGTTATCGCATTCATCTTAGGTTATCACTGGTTGGACGCTGTCATCTTTTTGATTGGTATCATTGTGGCTAATGTGCCAGAAGGTTTGTTGGCCACTGTCACCGTATGCTTAACCCTGACCGCTAAACGAATGGCATCAAAGAATTGCTTGGTGAAGAATTTGGAAGCCGTCGAAACATTGGGCTCAACATCAACCATTTGCTCGGACAAAACCGGCACATTGACACAAAACCGAATGACCGTTGCTCACATGTGGTTCGATAATCAAATCATTGAAGCCGATACCACCGAAGATCAATCCGGTGTTCAATATGATCGCACAAGTCCCGGATTCAAGGCATTGTCACGCATCGCGACATTGTGTAACCGCGCTGAATTCAAAGGTGGCCAAGAGGGTGTGCCAATTTTGAAGAAGGAAGTCAGTGGTGATGCTTCAGAAGCGGCTTTACTTAAATGCATGGAACTGGCTCTCGGTGATGTCATGTCCATTCGTAAGAAGAACAAGAAAATCGCTGAAATTCCATTCAATTCAACCAACAAATACCAAGTGTCGGTACATGAAACCGAAGATGCTGGTGATCCACGTTACTTGTTGGTGATGAAGGGTGCCCCTGAACGTATTTTGGAACGATGCGGCACCATCTTTATCAATGGCAAAGAGAAAGTCTTGGACGAAGAGATGAAAGAAGCATTCAACAATGCTTATCTTGAATTGGGCGGTCTTGGTGAACGTGTACTTGGTTTCTGCGATTTCTTGCTCCCATCCGACAAATATCCAAATGGCTTCAAATTCAATACTGATGATCCAAACTTCCCACTCGATAACCTCCGTTTCGTCGGTTTGATGTCAATGATTGATCCACCACGTGCTGCTGTACCAGACGCTGTGGCCAAGTGCCGTTCGGCCGGTATCAAAGTTATCATGGTCACCGGTGATCATCCAATCACAGCCAAAGCCATCGCTAAATCAGTCGGTATCATTTCGGAAGGCAACGAAACCGTTGAAGACATTGCTCAACGTCTTAACATTCCTGTATCGGAAGTTAATCCACGTGAAGCCAAGGCAGCCGTCGTTCATGGTGCTGAACTTCGTGATGTATCAACCGAACAACTGGACGAAATTCTGCGCTATCACACGGAAATTGTATTCGCTCGTACGTCGCCACAACAGAAACTCATTATTGTCGAAGGTTGTCAACGAATGGGTGCCATTGTCGCTGTCACTGGTGACGGTGTCAACGATTCGCCCGCTTTGAAAAAGGCCGATATTGGTGTTGCCATGGGTATTGCCGGTTCCGATGTATCGAAACAAGTAAGCATATTGTTTTCGTTTTCTCTGCATGCCAAATGTGATGCTCAAGTGCACAAAATTTAAATATCGAAAATTAATTTCATGTTTCAGGCTGCTGACATGATCTTGTTGGACGATAACTTCGCTTCAATCGTTACTGGTGTCGAAGAAGGTCGTTTGATTTTCGACAATTTGAAAAAATCCATTGCCTACACGCTTACATCAAACATTCCGGAAATTTCGCCATTCTTGGCTTTCATTTTACTTGATATTCCATTGCCATTGGGTACGGTTACAATTTTGTGTATTGATTTAGGAACAGACATGGTAAGTGAATCATAACTTTTATTACATTTTCATCCTTCTTACGACAAAGAAAAGCATAAAACCAAAAAAAAAATCATTTTAAACTACAAAATTTACTCAAAGTTGCAAAGTTTACAAATTTATTTATAAAAAAAGAGATAGATATCTAATTCGACTGATAATTGTAAGTGTACAGAACAAAATTGAAAATATATTCAAAAATCAAGTGCAGGGTATAATAGGAATAGATCAGATACACCACAACTTTTTTTATAACGAAAAAAAAACCAAGATCTCCCTAGATTAAAATTTAAGTAAACATTTTTTCTAGCTCGAAATTCAATAATCTAATCTTTTAAACAACAACAGAAACAAAAGCAAAAATATCCCAAATTTAAAATATTAAAACACATTCTGGCGGATTTGTTTAGGTGCCTGCCATTTCACTTGCATACGAAGGATCTGAATCAGATATAATGAAAAGACGTCCTAGAAATCCATACTCAGATAACCTCGTCAACTCGAGGTAAAACGCACACTTAGAAGCGTTTCCGATCAAAACAAATTACCCGAAAAAAAAACATATTGAATACTTTAGAGCTCGATTTTGTTTCAAGATGGAACATGCACGAAAACCAAAACCAAACAAAAAAGTGGAATTTTAATTAAAATATTTCTATTTTGTCGCCCAATTCGGTTTCCAAGTGACCAAAAAGCAAAAGCAAACTAAATCAAAACCAGAAACGAAAAAAAAAAAATTGCAAACATGTTCCACTGCGAAACATTTTGTATCTTAAATGAGACTCTTATGCCAATTTTTAATTTCTTTTTAACAGTAATTTGATATGCTTTTGCGTGCAACCAAGATTATACATAGAGATTCGTTTATTTTTCTTTAAAGAACTGATTAGTGAATTCAAAATTAATGATCGATTTTCTTTCCAATTCGGGTACGAAAGTAACCAAAACAAAAACCATCCGTAATATTATTTGGTCTTAATTAAGACTATTGAGCTCATTTTTCTTTTCAATATTGTTTTTATCGTTTTTTTTTCTTTATTTTGTTCCATTCACATGTAATGCAATGAACTTTTTTCCTATATCTCTCTATCTCTTATATTTAAAAAAAACATGTTTGAAAATAGTTATTATAAATATCGTACCAAATGGCATTGTCCGTATTTGCTATGTAACTTTCTTTCAAAAACCTATCAAAGTACTCTCTCTGTCTGGTCACTTTTCTGTATTTCCAACTTTTATCTCTCTCTCTCTCTCTCTCTCTCTCTCTCTCTCTCTCTCTCTCTTGTTCTAAACCAAAACAATCTATTCTTTTTAATTTAAACTATCGCTCGACTTGTTTCAGAACAAAAAAACACTTCCACACTTTTTTGCGATTGAAATGGTAGTTCCTGTCTTTAAACAAATATACACAAATCTATTAGATTTTTCACTAAAGCTAAAATTTCTTCCATAAAAAATGAGTACTTGGTCAATTCAATACACACAACAATTTGTTGGATCTTCTATGATCAACATGTGATATGATGATAGAAAGAAAAAAATATGCAACAGAAAAATTATGGCGTAATTTTTCGCGTTTTGTTGAATTTTTCACGGTTTTATCAACAAAATATTTTTGTTTTATTTTTATTTTTGTTATTTTAGACAAACAAAAACAAATTCGATATTTTTTTAATTTTAATTTTCTTTAACACCAAAAAAATCGATCGATAATTACTTAGGTACCGGCTATTTCGTTAGCCTATGAGACAGCTGAATCAGATATTATGAAACGTCAACCACGAAATCCATACAGTGATAAACTGGTCAATTCCAGGTGCCATTTCATTTTTTTTCTTTCTTAATTTGTTTTTTTTTTTTAAATTCCGAAACTTGAATAACACACACACACACAATATTTAACTTATCCAAAAATCTAAAACAAAACAAACATATTTAGTTAATTGGTTTGGTGTTTCACTTGGTTTTCTGCAAATCGAACAAAAACAAAAACACACTTGGACTTGAAATTATGAGTTTGTTATTTGCATTTGTTGTTTGTTTTTATTAGTTAGACTGTTCTAATTTAGCAACGGTTTTGTTTTTTTTTAGCTCAAGTACAAAATTTTCAAAAAAGGCCATTGGTTGGTTAAAAAAAATGAAGAGCGATTCAAGTGCACAATCACACATACACTCAAAAACACCAAATTTCGGGCGAACACTTAAAATTTCCAAATTCCACTCAATTCGCAATGTGTGCCACTTGTAATGCTTTTATAATTTGTACCAAAAAATCTTGTTCTATTTCATGTTTTTTTCTGCTCTACTAATCCTTTTAATTTTATTTTATGTAATATATTGAAAAAAAAAACAAAAACAAACCCCATTAACATTTATATACAAAATAACCAAATTATTAACGATAATTTTCTTTGTTTGTTTATTATCCGTTTTTGTTTGCGATATGATTTTCCGTTGCAAAACAAACAAAAAAAAACGCATAAATTTTTTTAAATTGATTCTCTGATTTTTATTCACTCAATGGCTGTGTGTCCATAGATTTGTTTTTTTCGCCAATAAAAGCGAAAATGATGTGTGGCAACAATTGATTTATTTTTGTTTACAAGTATTTCTGTGTGTTCACCACTGGCACTTTTGTGTATTTCGTGCTTTTTTGTTCACTTGGTTGATGAACCACCCAAAACAAAGAGTGTTTTAGATTTTACACACAAAAGCAAGCAAAAACAATAAGTATTAATTATATGTATGCAGGTGTTTGAGTTTGAGTATCAATGAACTGTCGAAAAACACAATAACCAATCACCACAAATGATTGATTCGTGATATCGAAGTGAGGCTGTGTTATTCAGCCTTCGGATTGCAATTCGTTAAATAAATTGAACGGTTGTAACTTCGAAATACGACAGAATGGGTAAATGAATGATTTCTGTTTTTTTTCTTATTCTGGGACAATTTCTAAGGTATTACAAACATACGTCTTCAGCCCAAAGCTAGCCAAATTAAATCAGGATATAGTTATATTTAACAAATTGTTTTAGAGAGAAACGATTTTTTTTTTACACATATTGTGATGATTATAATTGAATCCGACAATTTTGATTTTTCGCCGATATTTAGTCGGTCAGTGGTCGCGTAATTCAAGCGCACCACAAAAACAAAACACATTGACGACGATGATGAAGAAGAGGAGTTATATAAGGAAGATATTCTACATGAAAAAAAATTCAAATAAGACTGATTTCATTTATATTTTCTTGAGTTTAACCCCACTTTTACTATACCATATTGTTCGTATTGTGTTTGTTTATTCGTTTTTTGGTCTTTTTCTTTTTCCGCGGAACACGAAACCATAAATGCGTATAGTTTTTATTTTTCCGTGTTAATATGTTCCATTTCCGCGATATTTTATATACATGTATGTATATCTAGCAAATGAACAACGATTTGTTTTTTTTTTTTTTTTCATATCAAAACATTTGATTTCAGTTAAATTTCCACATCAAATTTCATATTCATGTTCATATTCATACCATTCATCATTTGTCATCCAAACACAAAAAAATCATTCAAACTCATTTGAACAGTATTTTTTTTCCCGAAAACATCGAACATCGCACATCTCATCGGCGAATTGCATCTCATGCAGGGCGTTTTTCGTTGTTTTTTTTTACTTCTCTAATTTCTTCTGTTACATGCGTTTTAATTTTGTGAACGAAAATAAAATAATAATTGCGTATAGGCATTGAACATGTGTCAGTGTGTATCCAGTTTTGAACTTTCTAACAAAATTGAACACTGCAAGTTTATTGAGATTCATAAAAAACTCCGTGTTCTACTTTTTATGTATACCTGTTGGCCACGCAATAGAATCACCGCTTCCGTTTGTTATTCCGTTTGAAACGATTACAGCTAACGGTTTTTGAGTCATATTCTATTCGGTTTTTTTATCGTATTCCGTGCGAATGTAAGTCGTCCAACACATTTGAAACCACAACCAAAAATCGTTGTGATGTTGTTCCTTCTCGCGTTCATTCTATTTCGCGCGTGAGCTGGTCGTATTATTCGTCGCGTATTTTCCTTTTCCACGTAATTCCTCGATAAATTCGGTATTGACTCGCCATTCAGTCCCTTGGCTACTCTAAATGGACGTTTATTCTGTCAAATACTAGCCAACGTAATTCTTTCACTAACATGCTGTTTCGGTCTATCGAACCTATTTTCCTCAAACGCTTAAAAGGTAGTACACAAAGGATTTTTATGATATTTCGAGAGAAAAAAAAACATCAAGTATTGAAATGCGTAAGCCGCCGCGGCTTGAATTTGCTCCGAATTTTGTGCGTAATGAACAGGAAAAACGGTTTAATTTTCGAAACAAGCGTTGCTTATATGTATGCGATTTTTTTTTATTGGTTTCATTGATAAACTAAAATTTTCCAACTTCAATCAATCGTCCGTTTTCCAAGTGTTTGAAGAAACGCGAGTTTTTTTTAACGTCAAAATAAAATGAAACTTCATATGAGATTAGGCCCTTCAAACACAGTGAGAACTAAAACGAAAAAATGAAACAACACAAAAATACACAAATGAAACGTTATTCTTCAAGAAAACCATAATAGCAAGAACAACAACAACAAGAACAAAAAAAAACAACACAAAAACGAACGAATTACTAAAGTGCAGTCATGTGTACTATGCATTTTCAATATAAATAGGTTCCAGCCATTTCGTTAGCTTATGAGACAGCTGAATCAGATATTATGAAGCGCCGACCACGGGATCCTGTCAATGACAAGCTGGTCAATCAAAGGTAAAACCATTATTTATATGGTATCTTCATTGCGTCCAAAAATGGAATTTATTGCATATGACAGTAAAGAGAAAAAACACACTGAATTTTGCGAGTGGAATTCAATAATAAAACTGAAAATTGTCGAAGAAATCAATTCTATTTACGTATTTTTAAACAACAACAAAAACAACAACAACAACCAGAAAAAAATATTCTTCATTTTTGATACTTATCATTTTTACTTTGCCTACTACTATTTTTCATTATACAACGAGTTTTTTAATGTATTTTTCCTCTTATTTTTCACATTTGATTTTCATGATATATTTTTCCAATCTTTTTCAAACAACAACAGAAAAAAAACCGTTATCATGTCTATTTCATTAAAGTCTACGTAATTGAAGCTACTGCTACTACATTATTTTTTTTCTTTCTACAAACACTAATTTAATAATTGTGTGTGTCTCTCTGTGCGTGTGTGTGTCGTTTCTTCCATTAATACGTATTGTATTGTGCCTATCAATTTTGCTTATACTGTTCGATCAATGTTAAGAATTTGGTATATTATCTATTTCCTTCTTTATCGTGCCAATTGAATGAATGATCTTTAATTAACTAGCCGAAAATTGCCAATAAAATTATACGTTTTTTTCTGTTTCAAACTAGCCTACTACTGTTTCGCTAAACTCTTTTCTTGTGTTGATTTCATTACGTTAAATATGTTTTCGTTAGATTTTATATTTCATTTTTTTTTCGATACCTACTAAAATGTCAAAACTCACATCTATCGCTCCCTTCGTTCTTTGCTATTCTTCTCTCTGTGCTATTTCGCATAGCATTTGATTTGTTTATTTCAATTTACCTTGGCACACTTTTTTACATTCTTACTTCGAAGCAGCACTTGCACACCGACTAAACAAAAATATAAAATGAAATTGATCTAATTTGCTAACGAAGAAAACTTAAAATGAGTTTTTTTTTTATTGGCTAAGACAAAAAAAAAACCGTTTTTTCTCTCTCTCTCGCAGTAGTTTCGTGAGGTTTTACCTATCTTTCTAACTCTCGATTTCTTATACTCATTTCCAAATCCCAATTACATTCATTTTTTTCGGTTTTTCTACTTTAATTTAAAAAGAAAACCATTAGTCGATTGCCAACAACCTTCTTACTTTTTCCACAACACCAGCTACAAAGCGTTCCTCTTTATATCTGCCTCTGTTTCTTTCTCTGTCTCCCTCATTTTCTATACACACACACACACAAACCCCTGAATGAACGTTAGAATTTTCGTTTTAGAAAAACAGCAAATATATGTATTTCAGTACAAAATCTTTCTCTTCACTCAGTTGGTCCCTTTTGAAACTGTAACTATGTTTACTTTGTGCACTTGTGTAGATCTATTTGTTTCGAATCGAATTGAAACTACCTATCCATCCTGCGAATTAATGGATTTGAACCGTGTGTTGAAACAAACTTGTGTGATTTTTCTTATAATTTGTTTCAAACAACCAAAGCAACATTGTACTGTCTCTCTCTGTTATCTTTCACGCACATACAAACAATTTCCTTTCTTCACATAAAATGTCTTTTTGCAAGCGAACGTATTTGATCTCAATTTGATGTGCATCATTCGAATGACCGACATGTTAAGAGCAAAAAGAATTCTAAAAATACACTGATGTGATGAAACCCAAGTAGCATCTAGGTGTATTTGTGGCAACAGACTAAAAAAGATGTGAATCGTCACAGTAGCTTTCATGTCTACATGTACATATATTGTTTCCATCATTGTGTTCTGTTCTGTCTTTTAAACATTTTTTTTTCTTTCGGTTTTGTTTGTAAATATTGTCGTGTGCATTAATTCAAAAATGAATAACTTTCGCGGAATAATGATTAGAGTTCAAAAGGCGTTGCACTTTAGCACGCATGAATCCGTTGTTTTTTTTGTATGGGCTAGTGATCTCTTTCTTCACACACATTCACCAGCGACATCTATGTAAACTGTAGTATTTCAAAATAAGACTGGA